ATCATTAGTTACACAGATTTGTAGTAATCAGGTATAGATAATAAATGGTTAGTAAAGCAGGGTATCATTCCATATCAAGTCTCTTTAAAACCACGTGACAACTTGAACCCATTACCGACTTTATATGTGTCTTTGATTTGTAAAATTGTTTATCATTGTTTGTTAACTAAATCATCTTCAACATACTAAATATTTACAGTGTGAGATAATACAAACAGTAATTTCTGTAGACTCACAGGATCACAGGGGGCACTGTGTTGACACTGGGGGCAGGTTTTAGTACAGCCAGGACCGTAAAATCCCACTGGACAGGGGTGTTCACATCGGGGTCCCACAAATCCATCCTTACACGTACAGAAACCATAGGCCACGTCACAGGAGGAGGTCTGGTTCATATAACACTGACAGCGGGACTGACAGTTCTTACCGTAGCTATAAATAGATATACATGTATAAACCAATCATACTGTAGCTATAAAAAGATTACATATAGGTTCATATAGCACTAATAGCAGGACTGACAGTTCTTACCGTAGCTATAAATAAATATAAACAGTTCATACTGTAGCTATAAATAGATTAGATACAGTTTCATATAGCACCGACAGTGGGATGGCTTTTCTTAGCGCAGCTATAATTATATTAACATCCCCCCCCAAAAAAAATTGTCCCTACCAAACCAGTAACTTAAGCTACTTTGCCCATTAAATATAGACCCCCTGGAAGAATTAAAATGATTCCACAGCAATATGCTATTAAAAGTCTTCTTTAGCAATGAAAATATCAAACAGTTTAATAATCTACGTAGCCAAATCAATGTTGAACAAAACGTACGATCCTGGTGAACAGGTAAACTCGCAATGTGCCCCAAAGTTTCCCGGGGGGCAGACACAGGCACCAGAGACGGGGTCACAGCCCTGGGGGCAGGGGCAGGTCTTAACACACTGATCTCCGTACTTCTGGTAGGGACAGTCCTAAACCATAAAATACACAAGAATATTACAAGAATGTTGGATTAGAAAATTGTTCAATTAACAAACATTGCCAAGAACTTTTTACATTAGACTTTTTCTTACGATTCAACCCTTTGACTTTTAAGATTTATTTTGTCTTTTTAATTACCTGTTGACATTTGGAACCTAACTTTCCGGCATTACATAAACACTGTCCTGTCACTGAGTCGCATGGGGAGCCATTACAGTCACATGACAGAAGACAGTCCACTCCAAACGTGTAGGGGCTACATTGTACACCGCATAATTCTGATAAAACAACAAAACAGTCATATGACAGAGTACACTTTTAAGGCGAGCAGTGTTCATTCATCCCCTTCCCTCACCCCTAGCTGACTTCTACTCCTGATCATCTGACCTGAAAATGACAGTCCCCCCCTTTGTACTGCCCCCCCCCCCCCCCAATACGGTAACTCCTGATCATCTGACCTGCTATCAAGCCCGGCTGACAGTGACATACCCCCCATATAACCCCACTTCTTATCCTGATCATCTGACCTGCCGTCCAGCCTGGCTGACAGCGACACACCCCCTCTACTGGGTCACAGCTTCCGTGCTCCGTACAATCACACTGCTTTGAACAGTTCCGACCAAAGAAACCCTGAGGACACGGAAAATTACACAGGGCTCCCGTAAATCCTGGCTTACATCTGTAGGGTAAAAGTACAAATACAAACACTCTTATTGTCTCATGCTTTGAAATTACTTAAACTGTAAGAAATTTCATTTTTCTTAATTATTTTAAAAATATAATTAATGAACGGAACCTACTGAGATAAAAGTGTGTGATAATCATAACAAATAACAAAATATTCAAACTCACAAGCAAATACCCGACACAGAGTCACAGTCCGCGTGCCTGGTACAGTTACAAACTCCTGGAAGACAAGGTGTTGGTTAAGATTGTAACTAAGGGTAGCAGACATGTTTTAATTAGACACCACAGAAAAGCTTAATGACAGCATCTCAGTTTTACTTTCAAAACTATTTAAATTGATTGGAATTAATCAAATGTACATGTATGCATCATAAATCTGAATTTTAAATACATGCAATTACCTTGACAATTTGTACCAAATCTTCCTGTGGGACAAACATCCTGGCACTGGTTGCCCTGGTAACCAGGTTTACACTGACACGACCCAGTTATGGGGTTACAGGTCGCTGTGTTAGTCATGTTACATGTACAGTTCTGTTGACAGCTGTTACCATAGCTACCAGGGTCACAGGGCTGCAAAATAAAAACTTAAAACATTTAATCCCCTTTTTTCATGCCTGGTAATTCCACTCAACAAGAAATGTTTTAAAACTCAGTTCTTTTCTTAGAAACATTGAAATTGCGACTTTAAATGACCAAATCTGGGAATAGTGAAAAATGATACAGATATTCTTCGAGATAATTACAGGATTACATGTACAATATTACTGACATAGGATATACCTGAGAACACTGAACTCCCTGGCGCCCTGGGGGACACTGACACAGGATTTTGTAGGAGGTGGCCGTGGTATCATGTGGATTACACAGTCCCCATGATGGCTATCAAAAGATAGATTTACATTAAATATTTATGAGAATTATAGCATTTAGCTTTATATTATTTAACTATTTAAATCTTGAGTATTACCGATGACCCAGTACTTGTTTGACACCAGGGTTCACATTTCTGTTGTACCCCAGGGTGGACAATGGCGGGGGTACCAGGAGGGGGACCAAACACCTGGATCCTGTCGGTGCCCCCACACGTCATCATGCTGTTCCCAGCACAGGGACTGTTACATTGTCTGTAAAACAGAGGTCTGTAGTCTCAGTAATGGTTACAGGGACTGTTACACTGTCTGTAAAAGGAAGGTCTATAGACTCAGTAATGGTTACAGGCTGAAAAGTGTCCAATATGTCAGATATTAGCAAGATTAATTTAAACAATATTTTATTCACAGATGTTCATTGTTCCTAGGAGGGTATGAGAAGAAGATTTTTAGATTTTCCCTATATATTCCAATGTACAAAACAAATAGTGATTTAAAAGAATGTACAAAAAAGAGACAAACAAAATTGAACAAAGTATGAGAAAAATCCCAGAAAAAGTCAATTTCCTGGAAATTAAAAAAAAGAGAAAAATAATTTGTAACATAATCCTAGGGTAAAACAGGGGGAACAAACATCCTGGCACTGGTTACCTGGGAGAACATGATTTCTAACAAATAAAAATTATATCTATATATAGATATGAGGATATATAAGTGGTTTTGAGAAGAAGATTATTTCCTGTATACAGCTGTAAATATTTGCCATATTAATGTCACCCTATGGGGGTCAATTTTTAAATCACATTGAGGATATTCCACAGTTTATAATTTCATGTGTTGATTGAAAGATTTTTTCTATATATTCCTATGTAAAATTTTTAAAAAATACATACAATGTTCACACATGGAGTTTCAGCTAAATGTTGATTATATAAAAAATTATAGCCATTAATTTATCGCAATTCATTATATTATACTCTTGGAAAAAGGTCCAAATTTGTTCAGGATACTTTTTATAGATTTTAACTTTTAATGGAAGTTTCAACAATATAATCTACGACAACGACGACGACAAGCAGACAACGGGGAGAAAACTTTCCATATAAGATGTTGTTAAAAATGATACAGAATTTTGACAGCATTACATGTTCTAAGATAGGATATACCTGAGAACACTGAACTCCCTGGCGCCCTGGGGGACACTGACACTGGATTTTGTAGGAGGTGGCCGTGGTATCATGTGGATTACACAGATGATGGCTAGAAAAAGATAATTTACATAAATATTTATGAGAATTATAGCATTTTAAGCTTTGTATATTTAACTATTTAAATCCTGAAGTATTAATGACCCAGTACTTGTTTGACACCAGGGTTCACATTTCTGTTGTACCCCAGGGTGATCTAAGAGGGGGACCAGTAATCGGTGCCCCCACACGTCATCATGCTGTTCCCAGCACAGAGACTGTTACACTGTCTGTAAAACAGAGGTCTATAGACTCAGTAATGGTTACAGGCTGAAAAGTGTCCAATATGTCCAGATATTAGCAAGATGCTTCATGAAGAAACTTTTTAATATACCTAACATAACAGACATAAATATGCTTTTAAAATGTAATCCTTCTATTATTGAAAAGAGTTTTGATGTTTTTTCCTGTATAATATGGCTTTTTTAAAACATTGATCCTCCTTGAAGCCCTATTTAGCTCAAGGGGCTAATCAACACTTAACAAGGGAAAGAGCTCTTTTGGGGGGAAAAAAACTTTGCATATATAACTATTAACCCTAGAATTCTATGAGAAACATACACTTTATTTGGATACACTTCATTCAGCCACTCAACAGAAAATGTGAATGTCAGACAAACTCACAACTGACAGACACACAGACACTGATTGATTAATAGAAATGTCACTTCAACATTTGACTCAAATGATAATTGTAGATATCTTGACTCACGAGTCGTCTTTTTTCTTGTTCATGTTGAGATGGTTGTCACAGTAACAGATGTTTGGGGGTTTGGTCCCGGAGTATCG